CAGCCAGTCTGGGACGTATGGGACATTTGCCTACTGCAGGTTTCTCATGTCTTGCAGTGAATGAAATCACTGACCAGAAAGGTTATGGACTGAAAGACCTTAGATCTGATCTAATATGGCAGGTCTTGTGTACCTTTTCTGTATGGGGCTGGTTGACCAAAAAAAAAACCATTGTAGCTCTCCATTCTTCTTGGGGACACTTCCACATGGCTTATTTCTGCTTGATTTCTACCCTATCTCATCTTTGCAGAAAGAACTATTCCTGGAAAGGGGGGGGGGGAAGGGTGACTGGGAGGCAGAAGTTGGCTCATTCATCTGTCTTCCCACTCTTCCCAAAAAAATCTTTCATGCAGAAATGTTGCTCCTGGTGTTTTAAACCATACTAGTTATATAAATAAATGTTTATCTTCAAAGATATGATCCAAGATACTATGAAACACTTTCACCTGCAAGAGAAATTACTGTGTTAACTAGTTGATAGTAAGAACAGCAGAGGATGTTCTGAGATCTCCTCCAAAAGCTTTCAAGAAAAGGCTGGAAAGTCATTTGTCTGGGATGGTCTAATAACAGCAAATCTTGCACCTTCAGGGAACTGGACTAGATAAAGTGAAAGGTCCCTTCCTACTGTATTAATCTATGATCTGTCTTTTTGCCCTGTCCTATATTTATAATGTAGTACTGCTAACGAGATTGGGAGGTAAGCTTTCGGGAGTCTTTTTTTTTTTTTTGTTACTAGATGTTTGTTCTCCTAAAGACAAGCTTATTTTTATTCTTATTTTTCAGGCCACAGATAAACCTTTCGTACTCTGGCAGTGGCCCAGATATGTTCGGGTTAGTGTCAAGCATCTTAGAAGAGCCAAACAAGCCAGAACCAGTTACGGATTGGTAAGTTTTATGCTGCAGAATCCCATTAAGTTGAATGTCCTGCTGTCTCGATTGTTATCGCACAGGCATGGTATTTCTAGTTTCTTAGTATTGTGTGATACAGAGCAGAGTTTCCTGAAACGCATTTTGTATTTCTGGAGGTACTGCAAAAATCTCTGGTTTTGATGCTGATGGATCATTTCTGCTAAATCCTTTTGGATGAGATGTTAGCAAAATGTGGCCTGGGGGCCGGATGCAGCCCACGAGGCCATTCTGTCTGGCCCACGGGGTCCCTAAACAATTTAGGAAATTCATATTTATCTGCCCCTGGCTGCCTATCATGCGGCCCTCGATGGCTTGCCAAAACTCAGTAAGCAGCCCTCTGCCCAAAATAATTGCCCACCCCTGCACTAACAGA